CTCGAGTACACAAGAACTTGTTAACCTCATTAATTAAGCCATTGTTCGGGGACTAATCATGTTAAATAATTCAGATAATGTTCATTTATTACCCATTGTTACGAATTTTGGGGATAACATATTTTTAGGGCTACGATTATTCTTTGTTATCTTAATACCTATTTAGAACAAAAGCTAATGTTTTTCTTATAAGCACGTACTTAAGTAAAATTCACATATAACTCAGTACATATTCTATGTACTTACCTCTAGAAGTCATAGAAATGGTTTATAATAGTGGGAATTTATTAAATAACGGTATTTATTAACTTTCGTAGAATTAATACAGTGCGAAATGAGTATGGAAGTGTCTGCTACGGCTATATACCTAATAAAAATTGTAAACATGTGTGTCGGTGTACATATTTAGCATCATTGAAAATAACTCTGTCCTTTTGACTTTGACCGTAGAACATTAATAATAATTACGTACCGAAAATAACTTGTTCAACATCAACATATTTTTTACAAAACGCTGGAAAATTTTAATGCAAAAAGAGGCGAGTGAAGTGCATTTTCAGGGAAAAAGCGAATAAATAATGAAAGAAGCACTATTAATACAGAAGAGAGTCATCTTAGTAAAAAACAACAACACGTTTGTATTTTTTTCACGATGGATGTAAGATGTTTTACGCGTACTGATATTGACTTTTTTTAGGCCAAATCAGTACCTAATAACATTTTTACATATGAATCCGCATAAGCAGACAAGGGAAGGTGAAATTGCGCGCCTATAATATTTTTCGAGTAAACGAGCCGAAGCAACTCAAGTACGACGTTCTATAAGCACTCGGATCGGTTTTACCCGATAAATTCTCTCTACCCAGTAACCCATTTAATGGAATCATTTTAAAAAAAATCCTATTTTTATTTCAAGTGTACTGAAACGAGATTTACAATTTACTTTTAATTAAAATGAAATTATCCGAAGTGATCTGTGATTTACTATTATTGCGGATAACATTCCCTTAAAATCCATTGTTAAAGACTTAAAATAAAAGAAGTACGCAAAAAATGGTTTATGGAATTATCATACCTATAGTGAAACATGGTTCACAGTAAAAAAACGTAAAAGGTTAAATATTGTACGGTCTGTGGTACTAAGCAATATTTAAATGGTCCTTCCATTCTATTCATGTGGCATACGGAACGGAGATTAATATGATTAAGATTATATCACATACCTAATATACCTATTCAACCATAGATGCGTTGCTTACTGATAAATTCCACAATTTCGTCAACTGGTTTTAATTTGTGAGTCTTAAAATATATGTATGTTATTTATAAATATCTGTAATATTTATAGCACGGACTTTGAAGCTTAGTATTTTATTACATCATGTCAAACAATATGAAATTGGTCTTGCTCTAATAAATGATACACCGACACGAGAAATATCCGACAAAAACTACTTTTTTAGAAGTGCCGACTAAGCTTTCGTAAAAGGAAAGGTTACTTACTGAACCTTTACGAATCCCTTTCATTATAGTTCTGGCAAATCGACAAAATATCCGTACCGTAGGACCCATTGCTATATACCCTATTAGGACGGTATACGGGTGTTTATTACTGCCCCAAATTAAAAGTTGTAATACATTGGAGCAATTACAAGTCTTCATTAGATTTGATGCGAGTTAAAAATTGTTTTCGTATATTTTCTGATGACTACAGTATTCGCTTTGCTGCCTTGTTAATACTATTTCGTAATAAAAGACTAGTTTTGTTGTAACGGGATATTTTGAACAGTGCTGTGAACACGACAAGGCAATGTTTAGGTATACCTATGTAGTTGACTGTGTTCTATCTGGAAGTCTGTGGCGAGGCGCGATGGTACCTACACGTTTCTGTTTTGGACTTCACTTCTCCATGATTCGTAAAAAGATGAGTGCAACGTATTTTTCACTCACTCCGGTCTCATTATCAGACCTAATTTGGTATGTCCTAAAACGATACATTTGGCAAAAAACGAAATACCAACGTTCTTTTAGAGACATAAAGGTATTATTTCCTTTTGTGATTTCTAGACATGGTTTTATCTTAAAAGTTTATTATTTCTTTTCGAAACGAAACAGCCTAGGGCCATTTGTCACATTTTCCTGTTATCGGATTTTGTACGAAAAAGAAATATAAATCCTTATATTATTACTGAATGTTACTACTCCTGTCGTATTTTGATAAACGGACAACGTACAATATACGAGAGACATGAACACAATACAAATAAATAGAATCATTATTATTATCTTATTATTAGGAAATAAAAAATATATATGAGGATATTCGTGCAGACACGTTATTGGACGAATTGCTGAAAAGTAATAAACCAACCGTGAATTGAAATATCTCCTTCATGGATCACGATGGGCGAGGAAACTATTTTCAAGTATAAAGATACAAATTGAAAATTTTTAAGAAATAATTATAGGAGGATGCCACACAATATTGGAAGGCTTAGACCCAGCTTACATGGAGAAACTACGTGAAACAAAATAAGCTTAGGTACTCGTACAGCTCCTGTCAGCACGTATGAAATTCTGGCCTTGGAGTATTTTATACTAGGGTTATACGACATCATAAACCTAATGACTTTAGATATAAGTTTGTACTCCAAACTTCATCACATTAAACGAATTAATGACTTTTGCCATTAGTGTTTAACTAATCAGAAACTATATTTGTTAATGCCAAACCAATTTCTATTTATGATTTAAAATTGTCACAATTTTTCTTAGCATTCGGACGAACAGGTCCTTTCGTATAACTACAATCAAATTCAGTAGCGCGTTCAGTGTCATCGTGACCTTCACAAATATCAAGGAAACGAGATTAGGTGACGTAATCAGCATAAATACGAACACTAATGTCGCTGTTTAGTATCTACTCGTCTTTTCAAAGACACATAAACACAATATAAGTCTTTATATTCCCCGAGGGAAAGATAAAGTTCACATACTATAAACTTCCACTTTTCGTGAATTATGTGTCCCACTTACAGGCGTGTCTATTGCCCCACACTGGGTGCAAATTCTAACGCAGTACTAAAATAGGTACTGAGAATATCCCATCCCTAGTCCAAGCTAGAACAGTCAGAATTCCTTGCAGAACCACTTCAAAAATATTTCGCATTTCCCAGATATTAAGCACATTTGTTACTGTACTGTATTAACATATTTCTATGAATAGTATTTCGTGACAAGTTACTGTACTGCGTATTTTGGACATTGCATTCTGTCTCAATCATGGCATACCACCCGGTACGCAAAATGTTTTAACAAACACTCCTCCCTGATTGGGGACCTCCTCCTTTTTGAAGTCGATTAAAAATAATTACCAATTTTCCTTGGTCATTGCATTATGAGAATACGGCCGAACCAACAGCACTAACTCTTTTTTGTCAAAAACACATTCTAACAAAACATTTTCTTTGGAAAATTGGAAAGGGCCACTCTTTCGATGTTAGGACGGACCCGCTGGCTGGCAAACCAAATTGACATGTCAGTGACGTCAATCAAATGCTTTCTGTTGTTATTTTTCGAGAGATCCTCGGGGAAGTTGACTGTGAAATATAAAAATGTAATATTGCAAATCTATTCCCTTAGTGTTTTGAACAAGTTTCAATTGTTATAATTGTAAAGAAAATCGATGAGTGCACCTCCACGATTGGTTAATTAACTATTGTGTAATAATGAAGGAAAAGTTGAGGGAAAATGCAATAGGTAACTAACTTGCTATAAAATATTCAGGTCAAACCACTTGGAAAGCAAGATATTCTCGGTAGGTAATTTCCGACAATGCAGCTTATACAAGAGTAAAGTATTTTAAAAATAATAAAGCAACAACTATTATTGCGAAAATTTCTACTGCAGAGATAAATGTTTAGAAATCTCCATCCCATACACATTCATTGGTCCGTGAAAGCAAGCATTTTGTACCTAATTAGCTCATTCAAAGCCTTAGTGAAGGGTCATTCAGGTTTCGCAGATATTACTAATGGTTATTTAACCGATCCTCTTCGATAGAATGGAAATAACTGGAATTTAATTTTCAATATTGATGAAGGAATTGCCTACTAAAACTACTTTATCCTAAAAACTAATATTGTTAACATGGTTTAATATCTATTAAACGTTAAGAGCGTTGCATTCCAAAGGGTTATAATGCATGCGGTCATTCACAGATGACAGGCAAAGCGTATCGTGCTCCAATTTTAAAATAAACGCAACGCTGCATCTGCGCCAACTGCAGATAATTCAGCAATGCACGTCACTGACTCTGTCTCATTGCTAATTAATTTTAAATCTGATAAGAATAATAGGTCCAACTAAAATTTTTAATTTCGTCAGTGGAAAGATATCTGAGTCAGCCAGTCAGGTGGGATTTCAGGATGGTATAGTGTCATTATCCCTTAAAATGAAAAGGTATTTGCAGGTGGAAACATCTATAATAAGAAGTAAAAGAGAAACTGGAGTGTAAATAAACTGCCAGTAACCTAAGTAATAATAAAATTTTCCGATGCTATATAATACCGGTAGTTAATGCATACCTAGTATGTTATGTTACGTTCTACAACATCACACATAAAACCGCAAGAAAGTGGGCTGTGAAAGTCCTATCCGGCGCGAATCAGAGCGAGAATAAAACAACCTCTAACAACAAAATATAAATGAGAATCCAATATGTCCATCTTCATAAATAATTATTTAATGACGCAAGATAAAATCGTGTGACCCCTGCTCTGGTGTTTCACATAAGAAACTAAGTGGAAGAATATTTATTTTATACTCGCTCTCGCGTCACTAACAGACGCTTCTAAGAGGTATCTAAATACTGTATAATATCTCAACAGAGTTGTTCTTGTATATTTCCATGAATTATGCAGTTTATTCTATAAATATGTGGTCGTTAATCAATAATTACAGACTTATTATTATAATTCTATTATTGATAGATACAATACCTTCTCTTAATATTTCGTCGAAAATTTGGTAGGTTGCACCGCAATCTTCAAGCACTTGCCGCCTTAGAATTTTATGTGAGTGATCTCCATCAAGCGACTTAGATCGTGAGCGAAACTCATCACTGTCCATAGCACGAGCCTCGTCGGTACTGGCGGCCGGAGTAGCGCAAGAGCCTCGCCGACCTTCCCCAGACTCGTGCCGCCAATGCCCCACTTTTTTACCAAACGTTCGAATCAGTTCTTGTATCGTGTGGTGCTTATGCCGATGTCCGCTACTGCTTGACCCTGACCCTCGCCTTTCATTTTTCTCATATTTGCTATCTTTATGATCTTTGGAATCTTTAGAGCCCGTCACACTCTCTGTTAATTTTTGAGCAAAACTTTTGTTATCATGTCGATTTCTATGGCTCAATTTTGAACTAGATATTTCACCATACCGTTCACATTTACTATATTCATGTTCTTGAATATCATCCATAACATCATTAAAGAGAGGCGAGACGAAATTTCTGTAGTCGTTGCGCGGCGCGTGGTATGTGTTGACGCCAATTTGGTAGCGGTCTCCATCGCTTCTTTGCCGTCTGTAGTCTGGCTGATGAGTGTAATAATGTTGCGTGGGAGACCCTCTCTCCATAACATCCCGAATGTAACTTGCAAAATTCGGATAGCGATCCCGAGGACTAGAAGCAAACTCATAGGGACTTCCTGAACTAGCTCTCATACTCCGATGCGCACTAGAGCCTCTCTGATGTATAGGTATAGGTCGCGCCGTTGAGGATGATGCAGCGCCTTCATTTGCTAGCACGTTACGTGAGTCCGTTGAGGTCAGCGACGAATACCAACTGTCACCACTGTCTTCTTTTTCCATGGGAGGGGTTGATTCTCGGTGGTGTTTGTGCAGAAAATGCGTGAGACCGTGCATTTTGAATACCGTCTTTTTTACACTTCACTCACTAATTTCTATTCATTTCTAAGGTCTAACATCTTCATTTCCATTGAATATTGATCAGATCTCGGACTAGCAACAAGCAATATTATGTTAATGCAATTTAATTAGCAACTTGATGTCATCATTGTTTTAATAAATGATTAATACTGAAGCAAGACGTGTCTAACTAAATTATGGTTCATTGGCCCGTACTAGACGAAAATGTCAATTATATCAGAAATAACTAAACGCTACCAGGACATGCTATATGTACCTAACTTTATGCGTAAGTGGAGGTCACGAGTTATTTCATACATGAGTAATCAAACGCATCAGCTGCGCTGCGTACCGAGTAGCCGAATGGGGATAAAACAGGTTTACCGCTCTCCAAGGTCACGACTCGCGACTCCCTACTTAGGGATTGTAAGTAGCGAAGTGGGGCTATGGAACGAACAGAACACAAATGTTTGGAACAGGACGCATGCGTACCATGGGGGTCACCTTCAACCCCGCGAATTTGATTCACCATGGTGAATGCATTGCGGACGTGACTTGAGGAACACAATGGCACATTTTTACGTATTTGTATAAAGTACTGAGATGTAACCTTTTGAGAATCTGTGTAAAAATGTCTGGTAATTTATATTCGGTACTAGACTAGTAATATTGTTAAAACGTAATATAACTTGTTTACTCAATATTATTAAGCGCGTTACGACGACAGTTCGATACAAAGATCTGCGTATTATTTTACAAAGATCTTTATCCCTGTCAAAACTTTGTAAATAAGTTTATAAGGGTATAACAGGTATCGAATTATAGTGACACAAACTAGAAAACGAGGAAAACTAACGAACTAAACATAATAATACAACATTATCAGTTATCATAAGTTCATAACTACCTCTATACAACGGCCAAGGTCGGAAATCTTTGTTCAAGTTCTCAATGTTTACGTGATATATCTTTTCCAATTTGGGATTCATTCATCTCTTTAGGTTTTAAGTACTCAAATCTAATAAACCTGTATTTTATTTTAAAAATTAAAGCATTCAATTTTAATGCATTTTCATCTGTGTAGCATTTGTATAAGATTTTAATTTCAACATCTTGTTTTATTTTACGTAATAAAAATACAGAGCTTTGAGGACGTTCGTTAGGGAACCATTGAATAATCCGACAGTAGGTAATTATAACATACCTTAACAAAATAATATCAGTCTGTTAAAATTTTAATTATTTTGTGAAAAATAGAACTCCTTCGTTAACATTTTATTTCATTTAGATATTTCATGTAAAACATCTTACATGAAATATTTCTGAGAAATTCAGACATTTCTACTATTTAATTCCATCTTTTTAATGGAGAAAAACTCTTTAATAATAAACCAGTCTACTTCTCGTTTATTATTTTACAATTCGTTTAATACAAAGGGATTTTTAATATTATTATGATAAAACTATGACTATCTAATTGGATATAAACTCTCTGACATTGAGAAATTACTGCTTAAAAACTTAGGTTATGCTACGGAACTAGTTATTTTACGTAACGACTAAAATGATGTGTAAACAATGAATACTCAAAAATGAGTAAACTTCTAGAATTAGGAGAGGGTGATACTCTTACTGAGATAATAAAATGTAAAGTAACACATTCACTATGCCCGTAAACTATTTAGGGATAATGTACAGCCCAGACGGCGTCAGTGGTACATTACCTAGGTTTTATACAAAAACTAGAAACATCCAATCAAGTTTCTATAGGCGTAATGGACGTAGATACAAGAATATCATATTTCAATGACTTTATAATTGTGAATGGTTTACTGAGAGTTAACAAGTCAAGAGGTTAACAACTGTGACGGTAAATGAAGCACGTAATGCGTTATAGTAGGTACAATAATAAAATTATAGAAGGGAATTATGTAGGTCTCATTGCCTAGACCATTTTGAAACTAATGTAAAGTCCGGAGATTTAAACCCCCGTTAAACAGGAATGGAGGTGGACCGTTGATTTGGAATTTTAATTAAAACGACCCAATCTAGTACTGAATCACCTTTCGAAACCGACATGAATCAGGAAATAGAGCAACAATAAAAAATAGGTTTTGTATTTATTTAGCGACGTCTACTTGAAAATCTAACAATGGCGTTACGTAAATCTTGGATAAACAGACGCAGGAGTCTATAGTTTCGACATATTAGACAAGAACTAACTTTATCTATTATTATCAAACACTACTAAGATAAGTACGGTTTTTCTTACACAATATGATAATGTGATACCTACTAAATGTCATACAAATATACATAGATGTTACGAAACTATATTAAGGTTCAAAAGTTCCAAATAACTTGATTTCCACTGAATAATACTCAAGCATTCAATAGTTTAGTGGTCTAAGATTTAAAGAAGAAAACATTAGTATTTATTATCTTATTCACATAAAACTAACAATCATTTAAGTTTTACACAGCTAGGTATTATTTCAATGTCACTGTCTGTGTCAAGCGAATGTAGGTTTATAAATCTACTTACATAATCATACTTTGGCCTATTGTTTTAAGTAAGCAGATTTAAAATGATATTACCTGACATGGTGATTATGTAACAGACAATTGTATAGCAAGTTCAGGATTTAAAATGAAACATAAGTAGTTATGTATAATGTAATTTCCGTTCTAAATACCTGATTTACTTGCATTGTGACAACTTGATGACTATTTATGTGGAATTAAATAAGTAGTTACAATGACTTATTCAAGAAACAAGGAGAATTGTTCGAAAAGCCGTGATCTTTAAAAATATAAGCGTGTTTAACACGTTAACTGCCGCGTAGGTCACCGGTGACCTACGTTAGCGGAAGATTTGCCTTCAGCAGTTTTCTGTCGGCAATCAAACGCTTAAAGAATATCCTTTATAACAATCTGTTTGTTCGATACTTGTATTAAAATCTGTTTGCTTATATGTGATTACTTGTCTGTTCGTTCGTCTACGATGGTGTCAAGAGGTTGTGCAAATAACAATGAAATATTGGTTTTTCGTCGGCCTTCGAGTCGACCATATCTTGTATCCGTACAGACATTTCCTATCGAAAAGTTACATTCAATTATAGATGTTTGTTTTCGTTTCTGAACATGTTATCATTTTTGTTGGACTTCAAAGTGGTTTTCAGATTACCCCGTCATTTTTATCGTAAGACCAATTTTAAAAGAAAACCATTTAAATTCACAATGACCTTCTATTCGTGTTTGCTTTTCATAGATCTTGTATAAGAATCGAAACAGCTGTGTAACAAATTTGTAACACGCAAACATAGTTTAAATTACGCGTAATATATTATCTCCAAAATACGAGCCAAATGTATTAAATATTATGATGTGAATTTACTAAAATACTATTATAACATAACTAGTGATTTTGCTATCAGTAAATCTGATTGCAGCTCCTTAATTCAATTTTAATAATCGTTTTTATTATTTACTTTCAAGTATAATTATTATAAAATGAACATTTTATGAGACAGACAATTAAGTCAATAACTTTTCAGTGATAAAGGAACGTTTTCTTAATTTTTAAAAGTTCTTTCGATATAAAAATTTCCTAAAAACTTTGGAACTTTTTTGTACCACTTTTAAATGCTCTTCCACTACTAGGTATAACCTGAATTGTAAGGGTCCCTAGCTAGCCAATAGGCTACATACATAAACTCGCGTCTTTGGTCCAGTGAGACCCATAGGGTGCCAAACCGGCCAAAACTATAGACCACTCGTAAACCAATATTCTGAAACGGTAGGTAAACGACAATTTAACGGACCTCCAAGTGGTTTAAAATTGGGTTCCTGAAGGTAATTTTAGGTTCAGGTCGTATTAAGACTACCTATTTTAAATATTGCCTACGTGATACATAATCACAAAAACCAAATTATGCATTGGGAAAACCTCATTCACAAAACTTTTAAAAAAAACGAGACATAAGTAATAAGACTTGTTTAATGCATTAATTAATATTAAAATATTATTTATAATGTAAAATTTGTTGTTCCTAATCTTGATTCCAACTAGACTAGCTAGCCTTGTCTATCAACTTACAACAACAAGTGACATAACAAATCAACCCTTCACACACTGTTTGTATGAAACTTTTCAAAAATATTAAATAGGTATTGTAAAGAAGACACCTACTCATAAAATTTTTGTGTAACAAGTAATTATCAAACTATGTCTAAAAGTATTTTTAAAGTTATCCGGCTACTAAAATATGTGTGACTTGACAAACATTCACAGTTACCTGTTATATGGAAATATGTTTATCTATTAAAGCCCGTTCTTGACTGATACAATTCAAAGGCGCTGATAAGTTTCGTGGTAACGTTGCCAAAGAAAATATTAACAAACAACAATGATGACAATTGGCGCACTTTTTGGCAGTTATTACAGCCCTATCAAGTTGTCAAATAAACAAGTTTGTTTACAACATGTGTCGCAATGCGCCAGCTAACTCACGACCAGGCAGTTGTACGAGAGCACACCATGTGCCACCACAACAGAAAAACGTAAACACCACGCCGTGACACCGGCCGCTCCGAGATCTGATCAAACAAAGGGAAGTAAACCTAGCACCCACATCCGCACCATTCATGGACGATTTAACACAAAGTACCGCTTATGTGCATCGTAAATAAATATTCACAGTTCATTGTATCGTTATTATTATCGTCTGTTTGTACGTCGCGCGCGACACGTCACTCACTCGCGACAGACGTGGGAACACTAACTTAGTGGAATAAGCTACTAAAGAGAGTGGGAACGAGAGGGCATTAGAGAAGACGCGCGTTGTCGGGCAGTCCGCGTGCGGCAGTGGAACAGCGGTCCGGACCGCGTGGCGAGCACGCGACCTGCGGGCCCGACGCGGATCACGTCGCCTCTCCGAGTGGCCGGCAGCCGGTAAGCGGCAATGGCTCCTCCCGCGCTCACCGACTTGCTCATTGGCCTTGCTATGTCCGCCGCTGATGTCACTTGGACCTACCACTCTTGTTATCAATTTAACTAAATAATTTTGTAGCACCTGTCCGTGAGGTTTACTTGACATACGAATAAGTAGAAAAGAATACTTATTAAATTAAAAAAAATTGTGTCGTTATGAACTACTCAAGTATCGAAACCTATCCAGTTGCCAATGTGAGGAAGGTGTGTTGTGATTTCCGAGCGCCTTCTCCCGTTCAGTTGATATACGACCGACCTGACCTAATAAAAACCTAGACGGTAACTTTGAAGAACACAATTATATATCACAACTTATAAAAGACCGATCCACAAATTATAAAGGTCCGGCCATCTCTCCGATTTAAGAGTAGTCAACGAATTGAATACCGTTTTCGGTGCAGTTTTGACCTATTACAGTAAACAGCGATAAAGGCCAGTGATGAAGATAGACTGTGCCCTTTTAAAACTTGGCCGAACCTAATTAAAAATATCTGGGTCTCGAAATAATGTGGCTATGTTTGATCCAAAGGTAGATTTTGAACGAGGAGTGTTGATCCGCCTTCGTAACCCTTTACTGGTTTCACTGAATAGATAAATCGAGACGTAGAATGTATTAGTACGGCATGGTGAGCACCATTGACATTCGACCTCTTTTGATAACAAACAGACAGATGATTTTCAAAAGATATATATATATAATGCCATTTAATTTTTTTTTTTGTTCACTGTAATGATACCAGATTGAAATCAAAAGATTAGCTAGCCTAGTATTTTCTTTTAACATAATTCGGATTTGCAGGCGATCTTTATGAATGGATTTGTTGGACACAAAGGAAGTTAAGATGGATGATACTAAAAACCAATTTCCTCGAAGCGACAGCTGGTGAAGTTACAAATACACAGATGGCTAGCCCTATAGCCTTGTTATATGACGTTTGACTAAAGTTCAAATTGCGAAAGACCCTTGTTAAATCCAAATCCAACTATACAACTTCTAGCCAGGATAGAACTATTTACTTTTAACATAACATAACATCACGCCTTTTTATCCCCGAAGGAGTAGGCAGAGGTGCACATTTCGGCACTTAATGCCACTGTACAAT